GACACCATTCCGAACAATTTTAGAACAAAAATTTTATATTAGTTACCTGATCTTAAATTTCATATTGAATCTATTATTATTATGCCAAAATCAATAACTTAACCGGATCGGCCGAAAAATCATTCGGCTAATTTTTTGTCAGGTGTCCCAGAATTTATGAAAACAGCTGTAATCTAATCACAGCTTATCTATGAATGATTTTTCGGCCGTTCCGGTTAAATTATTATTTCGGCATAATAGATACGTACGTACGTACGTATTATCCAACTGGCGTGGTTTAATAAAGCCGTATTTTTGTTATAGATTTGATTGACTGTGCAAACCATAATTTACTGTATTTACCGTTACCAATAATTTAATAATCGATATTTAATTTTGGCTCACATCAAGAATTAAAGTTTACATGAAAACGCATAACCAACTCCGAGCCTGTTAACCCTGTTTTAGATGCATGCACATATAATTGTATTTTTTTTTTTCGAGGTAGTTCAGAAAAGACCATTGTAAAGAGTCGGTTTTTGTGCAAGCAATATTTCATATCAGCGCAGTAGTATCAAAAAAAACAAAGAATATGCTAGTCATTAACAATATAAATTGGCCAATAAAAGCTACAGGATCAACATGCTGCCCAAAATTTATAAATACATCGGAAGTTGAGCATGTTTTGCCGATTAAAAATTAGTTTGTTTTTTTTGCGGTGAAGTTCACCACTTCAATCCTCAACTTACGTCTTTTCCATTTCAGTGCTTTTTGTGCCTATACTGACTGTCTAACAGTTTAGTTTTTACAAAAAGGCCGGAAACAATTTCAAAAGGTAAAAAAGGAAAAATTGGATTCATTTCTTATACGTTTTAAACTTGGAATAAAAAGATTTTAATAAAATAATAACCTCTAGAGAACGAACACTCCAAAAAGTTTTCGTATACTCAACACTTTACCTTGTTTTTTTAACCCTTGAGGTCAAGGTAAAGTATCTTGAACCGATTAGATGTGGTATTTAATTGCTAGCTTGATGTAGTAGATATTATAATTTGTCAATAGAGATTTAATTTAATAAAAAAATATTTTATAAGAAAAAAAACTCTATTTTTCGATATTCAGTAATCATGAAAATTTATTACCGTGTTTGTAATTTGGAATAGATGTCAAATATTCCTTTCCCACGTCTTCAACCCGCAGTAGAACAGGGACCAAAACAGATTTTACCAGATTTGAATATAAGATTAATCTGTCCAGATTGCAAAAACCCTGTACCAAACATCATCGAGGAATTTGCAAGTGGTGACCTTGTTTGTGGTGATTGCGGCCTTGTTCTCGGGGACCGAATTATCGATACTAGGTCCGAGTGGAGAACTTTTGCTAACGATGAAGGAGACGATCCCTCACGTGTTGGTGCCGCTGCTGATCCACTTCTCGATGGTTCGCAATTAGACACAATAATTTCTAGAAGGGATGGCGGATCTGGAACCGCTAGAGATCTTAACAAAGTTCATGGCCGTGCAAATGCAGTTAAGGGTGAAAAAAAAATCTTGTCCAAGCCTACAAAGAGATCGCCGCAATGGCTGATGCAATAGGTTTAACCCGATTGATCGCTGACATTGCTAAACAATTGTATAAGAGAGTCGAAGAGGAGAAACTTCTACGTGGTAAAAGTACGGAATCGATTATTGCTGCTTGTATATTTATCGCGTGTAGACAAGAAAATGTACCACGCACTTTTAAGGAAATTTGTGCCATTACTCGAGTCCCTAAAAAAGAAATCGGACGTTGCTTCAAGACTCTGATCCGTACCTTTGAAACCAATGTAACTACAATGACATCGGAAGATTTGATGTCACGTTTCTGTTCGAGGTTACATCTCCGTATGGAAATACAAAAAGCCGCTCTTGACCTTACAATAACAACGAAATCGCTTGGTACCTTGGAAGGAAAATCACCGGTATCTGTAGCTGCAGCTTGTATTTATATGGCATCTTGTCTGTATAATCAGCCTCAATCAACAAAAGATGTTTCTCAAGTAACGGGTGTTTCCGAAGTAACCATCAAGAATTCATATAAACTGCTTTATGCGGTTCGTGAAAAGTTACTTGGTGATAAAAAATATGGTGGTGGAATAGACAATTTGCCATCACCATGAATAGGGTTAGACCAAAACTTTTTGAAATTTACACGTACTACATAGTTTGAGTTTGGAAATCAGGATTTCTACTTCATTTTGGATAATAGTTAAATCTATTCTCAGTCAATAGTGGAAAACTTGAAAACAATAAAATTTGTTAGATAAATTAGTGAACTTCGTTATTTTTATTTCCAACTCAGGAATTTTAAGAGGGATTTAGCGACTTTATAATTGATTTCATAGACAAAAAAAAAAACTTTATATAATGGACATTTTCTTTTTTTACCCTTATCCCTAAATGAAACAATTTCGTTTAGTCACTATGGTAGATTAGACGTTCGTATTCTATCACAAGATTATTTTTTGTATTTTCCCCTAAAAAAAAAAACAAAAAAAAAAAACTCTAGCATTATCTTTTAAATATCCTAAGGCTAATGTTCTTATAATCACGATAGTATAAATATCTGCGAAGAACTCGTGATCATAAATTTAGAGGTTCTCAAATAAAATACCAGGCATTAGCGTTCTAAACCTATGCTAATGGCTATTAATAGTTTTATGACTATTTCAAAATTTAAAAGTCTTTTTATGTATGTGATTAATTATCATGATCGGTACCAGTTAGTCTCAAATTCATATATCGATATATGTTTGATATCACTATTTGCGTACCGTAAAAGTGCATATACAAGTTCCCTATATATCAGACCCACACTCATTTTTTACTACGTAATTGTTTTCTTTTTTTTTCTAATTAATTTTTGGTGGAATGTAAGAGACACGGGTCTTGTATCGGTAGTTTTGAAAGCACAGGGCTCGGAACATGTGGTGTCACGTAGTAATACAATCGGCTCTAGATACATAAACATAAATAATGTCGCGGATGATGTTAAAATTCGGATAATGCCGAAATTAATGCATCCGATTGGTTAGGATTAGGGTGATTAGCTAATAGATTTTTGAATTTCATAATTATTGGCCGAAACATAGCGAGAACGTTTTTACTTTAACTTATACAGGTGGCAGAACCTATAAAATTTTTAGTTTTAAAATTTTTAAATTTTTTTTTTGACAATAACAAAAATTAAAGTTTTTGAATTTATAAATTTTAAATTGAATACCAACATTTTACCAAGTTGAAGATTTAAGGCCAGAAGTCTAAGACTACTTGAATACAAGTTGTTATCAACAAAGTTTACAAACATAATATTCTGAATAGTTTGTAGTAAGCATAGAGGGCTTTTATTGTGATTGGCCAATTTTTGTGATATTGTAAAAATTTATTGGTTAATCGAAAATTTAAACTTTAACTAAATCGTTATGAATAAAGAAGCTTTAAATATAAAATAATTATATCTAGAGTTCGAAATCGGGCTGGGCTACCTGGGACCCGGCCTGGCTCAGCTCACAAAAGCCCAGCTTAGTCTGATATTTTTAGGCCCGTAATTATAGTCAGATTAAAATCGGGCTGGGTAAATTGTAATTTGACCAAGTTTTTTTCTAGAGGTTGAAAAAAACAAATTGTTTTATTGTAACTGGTGTGGCTGGTATAGCTTGTATATATAACTTGTATAATTATAAATTTGTGTAGCTTATGGCTAGTGTGGCTAGTGTAGCTAAATATAACAATATAGATTATATATCAATTTACAAGATTTGTATTAAAATTAAATAAAAATAATTAAAATAGGATTTGTAATAAATAATTATAAAAAAACTTTTTTCAATGATCTCTAGTCAATAAGTTCAAAATTTGAACTATGAAAAAATATTATAAAAGATACCAAAATTAATAATAAACTTGATTCTATATAAGTAGATATGTTAATAAAGTACCATGAGTATAAAACTAAAGAGTGGTCTATTTTGAATAGTTTTTGTAAAGGTTAAGCTTTCTAGAGTAAACTTCTTTATTATATTAATTGGATCCAAACCAGAAGGATATTTTGAGAATATAGCATAACTAGATTGATATTAAGAATATTAAAAACTTTAAATTATCTATAAACTTATAAAAAAAAACCCATAAAATTTTATTGGTTTACTACTTTTTTCAAGAAAATTTTGTTAAAAAGTGGGTGTTTTAATTTATTCTTTTCTAAAGATTGATATATAAATTATCAAAATAGTTAATAATGTTAATTAACCAAAACAGAAGATTGCCATTCTCAGTTTGCTTTTATAAACTCAATAATCTATACAACCAGATTATTTTATATTATATGATAAGACTAATATAGTGTCTGACAAAAGTTTCTCCACATCTGTAATTTTTGAAAATTCATATGTAGAAGCATAAAATTTCATACAGATATAGTACATTGCATATGCAGATTGAACTAAACTTCTTTGGGCAGTGTATATAGCAAAAATATCTATAATGCTTATATACAAAGTTTTAATCAAAAAAATACCTTTTTTATTATATAAGCAATATAAAATCATCTTTTTAATCAACCATTCAAAGAGTTCTAAGCTTTTAATATATGAGATAGCGAAGCAGGTTTGCTATAATAAAAAAACAGTATGCAAATGAGTAAAAAGATAGCAAGAAAGCAAAGACTTAAATGACAAATCAAGGTCAAGCTGTTAAAGAGTTACTATCAAAAAACAAGACAACCAGATTTTGAAGCTAGCAAAGGAAAACATAGATATTTTAGCGCCAGAAATCTATTGTGAGTTTTAAAACAAAATATAGATATTAATGCATATATTATTTAACTATGTCTTGGTGAAAGTGAGGCTCTTTATTATGGAAAACTCGTGAAGCCATTGTTTAAAGAAAAGCATCGAAAAAAACAGCTCTTGTAAGTGAAGAAACATAAAGATTTTGACTAGAATTCTACAATATTTACTGATAAAAGAACCTTCCGTCTAAATCAATAGTTAAAAAAGCTTGGCAGTTCATTGGGGCAAAGAAAATAGTCTGTTTCGTCAAGTATTTATTGAAGGTTCACGTATGGGGTGTTTTTCTTCTTTTGGTTTTGGAAAGTTAGTTTACTTTATACGTAACTTTAATGCACAATATATAATCACCTTATACGAAATATTTCTTCTGCCTTCTGCTATAGATCTTTTTGGTAAAAGATGTGATAGTTGGATCTTGCAGAAAAATAATGATCTGAAATATCGTTCAAAAATCACAAAAGCTTGAAAAAAAAAATGACATCCAGGTTCTTCCCTAGTCATTAATATTATCTGACCAAAACCCAATTAAGAATATTTGAAGACTTATGAAAATAAACCTAGCAAAAAAAAAAATTAGAAACTTAGTACTCTGAAAGCACAAATAACAAAAAAATAGAATCAATTACTAAAGAAATATGTGGCTAATTTGGTGAGAAATATAAGATATCATATAAAGGCTCTAATCAAAGCTAAAGGTAATTAAACTATATATTAATTTTTATATAATATTATGTATTTTTAAATAAAAAAAAATTTTTTACTAGGGTGTGGCGACTTAGTGAAGTGGTGAAGTTGTCGCACCCCCAAGCGGTTGAGTACAAGTTCAATTCCCACTAGAA